GGGTCTGGAAGGGGCTTGTCATTGTCTGGGGCTGGTTAAGTCGATGTTTAATGTATCCTCCTTGTGTAAAAGACAATAACTCGTCCTTTAACGTATCTAATTCGCTTTTAAATTTACTAATATTTTCCATTTATACTTCTTGACACTGTTGTTGATTTTTTCCTGTTTATTTTCTCGTTCTTCTTGTTTCTTTTCTTTTTCTTCCAACCACTGCTGTAATTTCTCTTCTTGTTTCTTTTCTTTTTCCTCTAACCACTGCTGTAATTTCTCTTCTCGTTCTTCTCGTTTCTTTTCTTTTTCCTCCAACAGCTGCTGTAATCTCTCTTCTTGTTTATTTTGTTGCTCGAGCTGCCACTGTTGCAGGTTTTCTTGCAACTGCTGTTGTCTCTCTTCTTGTTTCTTTTTTGTTTTTGTATTGCTGCCATCAAATTTGCTAAGCTGTAGTCTGATTTGCCGCCTCTCGTTTCCAGCTTCTTCTTTTTTTTCTTTTTTTAATTTTCTGTCCCACTCTCTGACACCAATTTGTTACGTCTCCGTTCGCTAGTTAATTTTCCGTAACTTCGTTCCGACGAAACTTTAGCGATACAAGTCCTTTCTTAATAAAACTGGTTTATTCTTTCTGAATATAACTTTGCGATACACTTAATTTCAACAGTCGCGCTATAACAAACGCTTCACGTGCTCGACTTCAACAATACTCAATTACACACTCTCTGACTGCAGTTCAATTACTCATTACCTCGTCGCTTCGTGGCCGGTCTTATATATACAAGACTACACTATATCTAGAAGGATCACGAGATTTCTAGAAAGAGGTGGCGTGATACTAGTCACGTGACCTCGCTGACGCAACAATATCATTTGAATGTATTTATTATAATCTAAGTTGAAGGAATTTAATATATTGGTTTTACTTTCATACCCATTAGTTTTAGGAAACAAATAAGAAAAAATCCCACCTTTCCATTTTTCATTTCCCCCTTTTTTTCCTGGATGAAGATTGGATGAGAGTTAATATGTATAAATATTCCCACCATCATATCTTAGTGAATTTGTTTTTAAACTGCATTTAAGATGAATTACTATGGCAACTTTCTGTTCATCTAACTCACATAATTATGCAACACTACCTTGCTCCTGGTAGGTCAGCGTTAAGTCTAAGGACTTATAACGCTACAAATCGAGTTTCGATACCTGTGGTAGACAGAGTACAGATAATCCATGGTGTAGCTTTGCGCTTAAAAACAACAACGAAAAAATACACTAGCTGTTTGTATACTGAAACATTAAAGATTAACTTCTAATACTGTATGTGTATAAAAAAAATATATTTTTGTCACAACAGGACATATTCAAGAAAATTTGAAACTTTTATAGATATATTGTTGTAGCTGCCTCTGGTACAGAATAGGTGGTATTTTAATCATAGCACACCTTTGTAAAAAACAAAGAAAACATATTAACCAGTTACACTGTGTTTGCAGGTTATTAACAAAGCTATCTTAAACAACAGTATTTTTAATTAAGTGCAGGATATCTGTGAGTAAAACTTAAAGGTAAATTGAAACCATTGAATAGGTACGGTGTTTGTAGTTGTACTTGATTTGTACAATTTATTTGGTCTTTAACATCACACATTTTGTTTTATGCTGTACATGTTCTAAATATAGATGTCAGATTATTAATACATTCCATATAGATGCCTGTTATAACGTCTTGTCTTACAATTGTGGCTTATTTGAAGGTCGAAATAAATTATATGTTTCAGGAATAATTTTGGCGTATTTTAATATTGAAAGTAGTTATATGTTTTAAGAATAATTACATATGTATATAATATAATGACATATTTATATATATCATGAATAATTATAGTGTATTTATATGTTTCATGAATTATTATGGTGTATTTGAATGTCGAAAGTATTTATATGTTTCATTAATCAGTAATTTCTTTTTATTTTCTTTCTAAAGTTCCAAGTGCCAATACAAGTTAATATAAAACAAAATATAAGCTCCTCACAAATTGTTAACAACTATTCAACAAGTGTGTTGATATCACAAACATTGTTCTCAAATATATCAATGTAAAACACATATGTAATTCAGCCCCCAGTGGCTCAGTGGTATGTCTGTGGATTTACAATGCTAGAAACCGGGTTTCGATACCCGTAATATGCAGAGCACAGATAGCTCATTGTGTAGTTTGTGCTTAACTACAAACAACAACAACATATGTAATTCAAAATAAAACAGAGCAAAATTAAACTTTATATTGAGTGTACCTGAATCAACATACTATGTAACTTTTAATGAAAGATATCACACCGAAATACCTAGCCTTTGTGTAAATAACTGAAAACTCAATATATGAGTTGAGGTACAACTGCCTACTATTCTTGCATCTATGTAATTAATAAAAGAATAATGTGTGTCAGTCAGTGCGGGCGTGTATGCGTGCTTGCTCACCTGGAAACCCAACATTTCTATTGGCTAGTTGTACAGTGGTACTTCTACGTTTCTACGAGTGCAAAAGTGAACCGTTTAACGTGCATTGTTCTGTACGAGTTCAAAAACAACGTTTAAGGATGTTTATATCATTAACTTTAAAGACAATTATTTCAGTAACACAAAGAAACACATTAATTTCCTTCTTTACCTTCTGGTGGCTTATAAATAATGGAATACTATTACATCTCAATACAAAGTCCAGACGCCTAAAAATCTACAATTATGCCTAAATTATAAATAAGTTTCGTATGGGAAGCCCGAGTTTTCTCGCTATATAATTTACGTCACTTAGCCTTAATAGCCACTGCCACAACTTCATTCATTTTCAGTGTTCTACAACTAACTGTAGGCGCGAAAAACATTGCAGATGAAAAGAAAAATAAGAGAAATAGCGACAAAGGCAGTTCATTTTTATACTTTTTGATACCACAATTTTAAAAATCCACTATTTTATAGAGTTACTTTATCAATAGTTCAATCAAGAAAATAAAATAAAAAATATTTTGGCTTTCGGGCATATGGCAGACACTTCTTATGTGGATGTTCAATGATTCTGTATCCGTTTATTTTATTTATTTATTTTTTGCTAAACAAATAATTTGAGTATATACATCTTAGGCAGAGCATAAGTTTAGCACTTAGTCTACAATTAAATAAAAGTTATATCTCTGTCATCTACAATCAAACAGCAGTTAAATATTTATTGCCTACAATCACACAATAGCTATACAAATGCCAACTAAAATCACAAAAACACCTATATTTATTTAATATGTAAATATGGAATTGCCATGTATATTAACAATTTGATAAAGGAAACATGTATATTTTATTATATAAGACCAAAGACTAGCTATATCTTTTGCATCTATATCAAAAGAATACTGTTACGTCAGAGGAAGTCACGTGACTCTGGTAACACGTAATGAGTATCTGGAAGGTTTGTGAATGCTAGATGTGCTGTATTCTAATATATAAGCCCAACAATCAATCGGAATGGGAATAGCAGACAGTGAGATTGAAAATATAGCCGACAATTGAGTCAAGCACGGTAGTAAGTAAAGTGCGTGAACCGTTCGTTGATGGCTGAATGGACAAAAGTGCAACTTTATCATAGATTCTGCATCTCAGCAAACCCTTGTCAGCATCGAGGTGCTGGATCACAAAGGAGTACCATAAGCCATACCGAAGGTCTGTGGTGTAACAGGACATTATGCAAGCTTGTGGGGACCAGTGTGGTTAACTATTGAGCTCATGGGCATGAAGGACAGGCACAAAGTATACTTGGCTGACCAATGTATATCAGGGTTGGACTACTTACTACCGAGGAAGTGTGTAGTTAACTTCGATAAAATGACTATTGGGAACAACAAAGGCCAAATTCCGGTAAGTGTTAAAAGGGAGGTTGAACTGACCAGGTGTCATCAAGCTGAAGTCAAAGTGACTGAAGGAGTTGATGATGGTGAAGTGGAACCAGATATAGATATTAAAGCAGAGCAGGAGAAAGACCAAGATTTGAAGCCAATAATTGATTTTCTAGCTTAAGCCCTATGCCAAAGAACTATTGGGCACAATGGGACCAGTTGAAGTTACTAATGAAGTTACTACCACTGATGTGACTGTTACCAATAATAGGACATTTTCTGATGGAGCAGATGAACCCCACGTGAAGCAGAAGCCAATGAGATGGAGACCAGTATGGAAGAAGATACATCCCATAAAATTAAGAGCCTTTGTTGAATCTTAATTCA